AAGTCAGTGCGACACCGTCAGTCTGCACGTGCACACAGTCTGCCTGCACAGTCAGTGCAACACCGTCAGTCTGGACGCGCACACAGTCAGTGCGACAGTCTGCACAGACACCGAGTCAGTGCGATACCGTCACAGTCTGCACGCGCACACAGTCAGTGGGACACTGTCACAGTCTGTGAAACATTGACCCGCTGGGACCGATTCTTGGCACAGTCGCCAGCGGTGCTCACCTTCGACTAGGACTCACCTGCACGAACGTGACGTTGGCGGGGAAGTCTCCCGGAGCCGAGGGGGCGGGCTGAGCCACAGGCGGGGCGGCGATGGGCCCCCGGCAGATCCGCAGAGAGATGGGGAAGGGGTGTCTGGCGGCGGGAGGCGCAGGCAGGCGGCTCTGGGAGCCGGTGGAGTCTTCTGCCACGTTCCCCGTCCTCTTTTCCTCCTGCTCCTCCTGCTGCACCTGTATGGCCGCCTCCTCCTCCTGGTTCCCCAGAGAGGCTCCCTCACGATCCTGCTCCTGCTCCCGATCCTGCTGGTGATCCTGCTCCCGATCCTGCTGGTGATCCCGATCCAGCTCCTGCTCGTGCTGGCGATCCTGCTCCTGATCCCGATCCAGCTCCTGCTCGTGCTGGTGATCCTGCTCCTGATCCCGATCCAGATCCCGTGCTCGATCCGGCTCCTGCTTCCGTTCCTGACCCGGATCCCGACCCCGCTCCTGCTCCGCCGCCCCCTCCCTGCGCCGCTGCCGCGCCTCCTCGGCCGCCAGCTCGGACAGGTAGTGCCGGACGTTCTGCCGCGCGGCGTGCACCAGCGCGCCGTCGATGTCCAGGCCGGTGACGCGGGCCGGCTGCCAGTTCTTGGCGAGGGTCAGCGTCAGGTGGCCCGTGTTGCAGCCCAGGTCCAGCACGGCCTTGCCCCGGAACCACTCGGGCCGCAGCACCCTGACGCGCGGGTCCTCGCTCCAGCCAGGGTTGCGGTAGCCGTAGTACTTGTTGTAGTTTCCGTACTGGAACTTGCGCTGCTGCTGCTGCTGCTGCTGGCGGCGCCGCCGGTGCGTCCCGGCGCCCCCGCGGGCGCAC